CGCGGCTGCCGGTGTTGAGCTCCCAGTGGGAAGTCAGGCCCGCGGCGGGGGCCTTCCCGGGGTCCGTGCTTTCTCCCGACACCATCACCGAATCCCTGCAGCTTTCGGTCGCGCGCACGGACCTGGGATGTGACGGCCGCCCCGCCCTCGCAGGGGAACAGAACTGGGGCTCAGGGAGGTGGTGGTCGGTCCGAAGCCCCCGGACCTGGAAGCGGATTCACAAAGTTAACGTCCTTCTTCTCTTTGCCTGGAGAAGGGATGAGGGTGGCGGACTCCGCCGCAGACGTGGACTAGCAGGTCGCTGAGACCCAGCGGAGTGCAGGGAGGCGCCCGAGTCTGCAGAACAGAGGGGGCGTGACCCAGAAGCAAAGGGACAGCGAACACATGTCACGGGGGACACGGCAGTCGGGAACCCCGAATCCACGCCCCACCAGCGTGCCTCGGCCAACAGGCTGAGCTTCCACTTCTCCATCAGCAAAATGGGGACCACACCGTTTGCTCTTGGCCATTGTGTCACCCTGTAAAATGGGGACCACCTTGTTTGCGCTGGGCCATTGTGTGGGCAACCCAAAGAGTTAACTCAATGCAACTGCACACACACACACACACACACACACACACACACACACACACGTATCGAGTGCTGTCCAGCTGCCATCAGCTTGCTCTGGTCAAGCGCGACAGGTTCTGGAAAATGATTTCTTTCCATGTCCCTCCAGGCTTCCGTTCCCAAGTTTGAGAGGATCCCCTGGCTTTGTGAGGCCAGCCTCAGGAACAAGCCCCTGGTGCTCAGCCTCCCCAAAAGGTAAGAGAGCTCAGCTGCTGGTGGCAGAGGTTGCAGGGAAGGCCACCCAGAAGCTAGGCCACGCGTCTGGTCAGTTGAGCAACCCACGTCAACTGTCCCCTGATTACACAGACTTTGGTGGGAGTGGGAGGGGGTGCGGGGCAGGGGCTTGAACAAGGCGGGCTCAGCAGGCAACGAGGTGCCCTCAGAACCTGCTCACTTTCACAGCCAGGTCCTGGAGGGTCAGAGGGGAAGGGAAGGGGGGCTTTTCCTGCAGCCGGCCACGCTGGAGCTAGCTGCCAGGAGAAGGACTGCGGTGGTCAGAGGAGCTCGTCACGTGTCTGTACGTGTCTGTACGGGAGGGTCCGGGCAGCACGGAGCCCTTGTTGAGAGAAATGACACCCACCTGGTTCACAGGCGGTCTAACAGGATGGACCACACCTGTGAGGTGCCCTGCGCTTTGGGGAGGACAGGTGGGCATGCAAAGTCTGCTGAAAGGCTGGCTGTTTCAGTATCAGCAATTCCCGAGGATTAGGAAATCCCCCTCTGGCCAAAGCTCTGGGTTCCACGCTGTTTATTTTTTATTTTTTTAAATATATTTTATTGATTTTTTTACAGAGAGGAAGGGAGAGGGATAGAGAGATAGAAACATCGATGAGAGAGAAACATCCATCAGCTGCCTCCTGCACACTCCCTACTGGGGATGTGCCTGCAACCCAGGTACATGCCCTTGTCCGGAATCAAACCTGGGACCCTTCAGTCCGCAGGCCAATGCTCTATCCACTGAGCCAAACTGGTTAGGGCTCACGCTGTTTATTTCTGACAAAACCCTTTCTATTCTGTGTCACAGCTGCTTTGCCAAGGCTAGCTAAAGCTTAAAGCACATGTAGAACTTTCATACCGTAATAAAATGAACCACACCGGCCAGCAGGTGTGCCACCCTGTGAAGAGCATCACTACTTCCCTTGCAAACCACAAAGAAACTTCCAGGGAAAACATGGTTGGAGGGAGGACATGGTCCACGGGAGGAGGTGGTGGGTTGCCCCGCCCGGGGATGCCCCGTGGCTTCTCTCTGAAATAGCAGGGGCCTCGCCCGTCACACCAGAGACTGTGGTTCTAACTAACAGGCCTTTGTTTTGATCACTCAGATACCCTCATGGCCCTGCCACTTCTCTGAATTCATGGAGGATGGGTGTGAATTCGCCAAATCCGTTTCAAGTTCCAAATGGCTTATCTAAGGTACTCAACTTTTTTTTTTTCTTTAATTGCAAAGAAACTCACAGCAGTTCTAGGACGACCTGAGTGTGACCCCAAAGACACGTCCTGTCTCCTTAGCTCAGCCCGAGCCTGGGGCATGTAGGTGTTCAGTAGACATTTGCCAAGTGAAATGAACGAGCCCCAGCCAGGTTCAGGGCCCCCAGGTCCACTAGAACTAAGAATAGAGGCCTGAAGGGAGAACCATCAAAAAGGGAAATTAAAAATTTCATGTTGAGGCATCTGCCCTGGGAGCTTCAGGGACTGCTGCTCAGCCTGTGTCTAGAACCACACCTAGTTTCGGAGTCTCTAACCCCCTCCTACCACCACCGTAAACCCCTAGGACCCCTATTCACATCGGTTTTCACATTACACAGTCCTCATCTCCCCTCCACCCCTGAAAGTCAACCGTGCCTGGCTGCTGGGTGACATGCAGTGACACTAGCCTCACAGAGGGTCCCGGAATTTACTGTGCTTGTGAAGTCAGCACCTCCCCAAGGTGGAGGAAGAGAGAGAACTCGGACACGAGCAGTTTCTTCACCTGAAAGATTACCCAGCACAGGACTATATTGTGGGCAGTGCAGGAGACTGTGTCCCTAACGCATTTGGCCAGAGCTCTGTAGCTGCGGCCACGTCATGACCAGCCCTCACGTCAGGGAATAAGTGCTTTCGCAGCCCTTTTTACCTAGTTTCATACAGATACAGGGATGAGCAGGTCAGTTCCTGGGAAGCAAGACCTGCGACTGAGCAGGCAGAACTTGCCTGCAGAGCTTTGAGCGCTCAGGCCTCAGGGCGCGGGCTTACATGGAAGGAACGGTGGAGCTGGGTGGGCCTGGCCACAGCACTGAGGGTCAAGGGCAGAGCTGTGCTCCAGGGTGACTTCCTTAATCCCCCTAACACCCAGGCAAGCAGGTGAGAGTGTCTGCTGGCACGTCAGAGGGGCTGAGCAGGGACACGCTGGGCTTGGCAGTCCAGGCAGAACCAGCAAGAAGCCTTCTGGTCATTTAGTCTCCTTGAACTTCCTATGCAGACAGCCTCCCCTGCCAACTAGCGACACCTCCTGCAGGTTTGCTCTGGGTCTCAGCACACGTGCAGAGGCACTGACTCCAGGCACCCAGGACGCAGGGGGCAAGGCATTGCTAAGGCCCAGGCCAGTGAGAGGCTCCCCTTCAACTGGGCTCCGAATTTCATGGCTGCAGTGCTCATGGGTGGCCACTAGAGGGCAGCCCAGAGAACAGCTTCCCAGGCTGGGACAATAGGCACAGCAGATCACAAGTCCATTACTGCTGTTGGGTACCTCGCGGGTCTCTCTCTGTCTCTCTCTGTCTCTCTCTCTCTCTCTCTCTCTCTCTCTCTCTCTCTCTCTCTCTCTCTCTCCTTTTCTCTTTCTGTTTGCTATGTTTTACGTGACACCGGTGCCCTCCTACAGGAACAAAGACCCAAAAAAGTGGCAAAGCCAAAACGTTTTTATACGAGAGAGGCGATTGTGGAAAAGTAACTCAACTGCACGGGGAGGCTAGAGGGGAGAAGAGATTTAAACAAGGTCTGTTTGCAGAGAATTCCCTCAGCTTCATCTTCTGGTCCTTTACGATAAGGATGTTGCTTTCCTTATGCCAGTAAGGAGGGCCTCTTCCTTTTGGGGTTTTTATCTCCTACTTTCAGGAAGAAAAAGGGGGGTCAGCGCACCCTTCATGCACCTGCCGTCTTACAAAGTGCCTTCGGCTCCAGATAACCCTGATGGCCCAGTGACATGTTTGGGAGAGGCATATTCTGCCACCTTCATAGCAAACCTGGGTCCCTGTTCTGTTGGGACACCTGGCAGGTATCTCGGGTCAGCTCCCAGCCCGTCACACAGACTCAGATCTCAGTCATTGGCTACAGACCTGAAGGCCCGAGTGTGTCTGCTGTGCGGTGAACAGCCGCAGCTGCTCCTTTCTGGAAAGCAAAGAGCAATGATGCATCTCATGGGAGTGGAATGCTCTGTGGACACACTATCTCTCCCTTTATCCTCTAAATCGGGGACCTACTGAGAGCTGCAGGCAGCCCTGCTGTCAACCAGACCTCCTGGTCCTGGGCGTGGTCAGAGGTCCTGCCCTGGCTCCCTCTTCACCATCACAGGTCAAAGGGCAGGACTTTGGTCATCCTCAGCCAGGTGGCGTTCCTTCCTGCCCGGGAGCTGCTCCTGGCCAGTGCAGGTGTCTGTGTGCCCGGAGCGCACTCCTCCCTGATGAGAG